ACTGCGGAGCCTCATTTGGGACATTTGAAGAGTGCAAATAAGCAAACTGGGGATTTCTCGAAGGCAAAACAAACACAGAGGGAAACTTGATGAACAGACTTCACAAAAGAACCACATTACTCACAGTGCACGCATAGGACAGTCAGAACTCTTGCCCATTACAACCACGTGAAGAAGGTCCAATTGGCAACCCAGTCAACCCAACACAGATACAGGCGCAGGGGACTCAACAAGGTTACGTTTTGTTCAGAGCGAGTAGTTTACATGCCTTTTTTAATATGTGTGCAAGTGTCATATCACATCAAACTTTTATTTTTTGATGTTTTTATGCTACAGGTGGCTGTAACCACCATGATTACTTGAGTCTAACTGTGTAAGGCGGCCATGAAAGCGGACATGCAGGTCAAAACTGGTTTAAATTTGGTTGAGGTAACGTAATTTCATTGGCAATATTTCAAGAGAAAAAGTGAAAATATAGCGATTATAATGCTGGTGAAATGTGTTCTTATGTAGCCTAGATGTAAAACCCCCAATTTTCAACCATATATCGCCCAACTGGTGCAGATATCGTTACCTACTAGAACACTGGACCGATTAAACTACAGATTTCTGCATGACACTTTATTTATTTTTCTTGTGGAGAGCTTAACGAGGAGACAGATGCCGCTCTCATGTCTGTACAGTAAATATGGAGCTACTGCCACAAAGCCGGCTGTGTGTCCACCCATCAGTCTTTATGCTAAGCTAAGCTAAGCTAAGCTAACTAGCTGTAGCCTCATGGATCTGCATTCTCATCCTAAATGTCCTGTTGCTTTATACTTTTCTCATTATTAATTCAGGCAGTTGCTGGTCCTCCTCTAAATGCCAGAATAACACAACTAAGACAGTGAAAGATCAAGAAACATCAGAACTTGGCAGATGACTCGTTTGCCGTTTGTGTAACACCAGTAAATAACTACATATTCTCATGAAATAAACACTGGACCAAATGTCATAATCTGCTCACCCTGACCGATGTATTTGGCTGTACGTGCTACAAATGAATAAATAATTGTCATTTAAACGTGGAGCAGAATCAGGAGGAGACTCATAGCATTGTTAGGAATTAAATGTACCTTAAAGTACACGTGCAACTACTTATCTATACATTTTATTCTGCAGAACTCCCTTTCGGTGTTTTCTCCTCCCTCTTAATATGAAGACTTTCTTTCGTCTGACTGGGATACTGCTGTAGATGTAGGAAGGATAGCAAGATTTTATCCTTATCATTCCCACTACGGTTACTGATCACGGCACAGACTATTTATGTTTTAGATTATTAAACGTTACAGTCCTCTGTAGGCTGCTGAGGATACTGCTTCATTTTCACACACTGTATGCCTTCTTTTTCTGTGTTTCCAAAGACCTTTTTGTGTGTGTGTGTCGTTCTGTTTTCTACATGAATGTATCAGTGAGGGAGTCGATGAGGATTTTACGCTACGAGTTGAAGTGTGTGAATGAGAAAGCAAAAGGGTGATCTACACGGCTCGAGTGGAAATGATTCTCGTTATAATGCTCCATTTCCACAGCTATACACACTGCATTAATCCTTATTGAAGTGAGTGAAACGCTGTTGCCAGACAGAAAAGATCGATCTTCAAAAGTCCTTCCAGGAATAAAAAAAAAAAAAACAACAAAGCAGCCTGAGCTCTCCCTGACGCCCTTGTGTTTTTGAAATCTGACAATATGTTTTATCCCACGACCGCTTTAAAATCTGTTTTCCTTCCACTGCTTTGCTGTATCATGACTAACACTCTCTGCTGAGCGTTCCCCAGTGGACGCCGCCGCGGAGCTCAGAAGGTGTGTGTGGGTGACTGTGGTTGAAATCTGCTGTGGGTTGCAGCGCCCCCCGATGGGCCGCCGAGCCTCTCTCACCAGATGTCACACAGCTGGTAGACCTGCACAGCTGTACAGCACTCTGGTTTATATTACCTCTACTCTGAAATACTGTCTTAAAGCATGAAGCGCATTGGGAAAGGTACTTGCTCTCTAGCCGAGGGTTGGATGAGAAGCTCGGTACCACGCTCACACACACAGCAGCCTGTTAGCTTAGCTTAGCATACAGTCTGGAAACAGGGATCCAGAACACCGAATAAAGCTCAATAATCCACACTTATCTTGGCTAGTTGTTTTTATTAATTTCTAGTCTTCATGCTAAGCTGAAGTGTTTCCCATTAGGCTGCTCCGGTCTAATTTGCTCTGCCCCATTTTTAAAACAGAACAAACGTCTACTAAGTCTAAATATTCATAAACTACAGATTTGGGGAAACGTGTCATCTCGGATAAGATTGTTTTAAGCAGCACTTGCCTTAAATATTATGACACTGTCTGATAGTTTCCACATTTTGCTGTAACATTTTTTTGTAGATGCACAAAGACGGCCATGAACGTCACAAATATGTGGTTCGTTTTAGTTTTACCATTTTCTAGTCCGCTAGGAAAACACATTCCACACAAGTGTAGTAAATCTATTTCACTTCATCGCGTATTTAAGGAAGCGCTGCAGGTTTGGTATTGATCGTCTCATCTAACTCTTTGCAAGACAGCGAATTTTCCAAAATGTCAAACTGTTACTTTAAGTAGCTCCAATAAACTACATCTAAAATATCATGAATTTACTTTCTTGGAAATTTGTGCTTACTTGCAGTTCTCTTTTGTTCCCTATCAATCATTTCTTCGGCTTCCTTTAATGTCTGCGTTCACATTTTATATATTTTAAAAGGTGTTAACTAAAATATGCTGGCCAAATGCACAAAGTGACACAAATGTGGGACTAAAAGCATATTTTGGGAAAGACAACAGGTTTTAGAATTTAACACAAACACAAAGGAGGTTCTGTACAAACAAAGCACGTCCAGAGAGAATCAATATCAGTCATTAGTTGAGAAAATTCACACTTCTTAGACTGGATAAACATTTCTTTCTAAAAATGTCACAAAGCTTAAACTCGAGCTGTGAAGTTGATCTTTGACGACCTGTTGAAGTCTTGGTTTTGTCAGTCAGTTTTCCACTTTCATTTGAGAGCCTGGTGGCCTTATGCAGCTTTGAAAGTGCTGCAAGATGAAGTTTAACGTTTTTAAAAACACTGCATCTGCAAAATGTGTGATAAACTCATGCCAGCACAAACACATCTTATCTCTCTATTTCGGGCTCCAATTGATCAAAAATGTCTGATTTAGACCAAAAAAGAGAGAAAAACTACAAAAAAAAAAAGACTAGAGTAAATTTGCCAAGTCAGGTCTCGTCCTGAAGATGCTTCGACGGCAGTAACTTGATTCCAGTAAAACACATTTCAGTGTGAAACAGGCAGCCAGCAATTAGACACTAAGGTCTCATCTGAGAGGCCAAGAAGCCCAGTCAGCTGCTGAAGCTGCTCTTAATGTCTTCATTGGAACTGCAGCCTGTGAGTGAACTCAGTTAGTTTCCTTCTCCAACTCTCATGCAGAGTCTTCAGTAAGTCACGTGACATGACTGAACTTGAAACACACTTTTGGCTGAATTTGCAGCCGACTCTGTCAGTTTTTTTTTTCTCCTTTTCTTTCTTGCCACACAAACCGCTTCCGTCTTTTATCGATCTGAGGCTCGGCTGGGTGCAAACAAAGATTCGAACATTCGGAGACGCTGACAAAGTCGCCCCAGGACACGTGAAGTGATCAAGGAAGGGGACTTTGAAGGAAGTCGTTTATATGATGGAAAGCAGTTTCATGTCTGACAGCAAAGCAATCTGCTTTTTGGCTGATTTCCAGAGGGAACGTGCTTCAGTAGCTCTCTGCAGAACCTTGGCAGCGTTTGGTTTCACTGAGGCTGCTCTCACACACTGAATACAAAACGCTGCTGCCTCACTATGGTTGCTACCAACACAGCTGCACAAACTGGAACAGAGTTTTGTCCTGAGTCTTTCTCTACCATGTTTAAAACAATAGTTTGACATTTTGGTGAATCCACTAATTCACTTTCCTGAGATGAGAGTGAAATGAAAAGATCCAGACCACTGTCATCCCTGTTCCCCTCATTTATCTCCACACAAAACCAAAACGTAAAGGACAAGCGGCTTCATGGAGGGTTGGTGCTGGACTACTGCCAGACTGTGAGCAGCTACTTTGAGCTTTAGAGGAGCTGGTAGGCAGATTTACTACCTTTGGACAGCACTCACCTGTTTGTGTTTGTTATGCTAAGCTAAGCTGCAGCAGCATCATTGCCGTTAAGATTCGACCCAAGTTTGTGCTTCTCATGTTTTATCTTTACATTTGCGTTGCAGAGCTGAGCATACAGTCCTCTGAAAAGTAACTTGGAAAACCCACACGGCTGGTTAATGAGGGCTGCAACAAACCGTTATCTTCATGATCAATTAATCTTTAGTTTATTAGCTGTTTGATCTATAAAATGTAAGAAAACTGTGAAACATGTTGATTAGTGTTTCCCAAGACGACCCCTCACATGTCTGTTTTGTCTGCAACCCAAAAATATTTAGTTTACGATCATGATGGAGGAAAGAAAACAGAAAATATTTAAATTTAAGAAGCTGGAATCAAAGAAAACCGATTAATGGATTAGACGATGAGATGTATCACTGTTGAAAAGATATTACCAGGATCCTCAGAAAGTTTTCAAACCATCTGCAGCTCTATGAAATGTGATGAAAAAAGCTGCTATCTGCAGCAAAAGGAAATATAATTCTTATGCTGATACATGCATGGCACATACTGGAGCTAACATGTAAGATGTAGCTACAGCTAGTTAGCTTAGCATAAACACTGAAAACAGCTAACCTGGTGCTTGACTCAGCTTAACTGCTCCTGCCTGTGTGTTCACATCGAACACACAAACATAGCAATCTGCAAGAAAGCAAATGAACACATGAATGAAGAAGTTCTTAGTTTGGGGACATTTCTGGCCGATGAGGTCGTCTTCATGTTTTCTACTGAGCTGGTCAAACTGAACCAGGTACAATTTGACTGAGATATTGGAAATAGGAGGTTTTATTAGTCTGAATATTTGAAGCAAATTGCACAAACCAGACTTGACAAATGATCCTTTTCGTTGACTTTACACACAGACGCATAGTTTAAAGCAAGACAGAGGGAGAAATAAACGGCGGACCGTGGTGGGCTGTCATCTGGCTTCACCTTCAGCTGGACTTTCTCTGACAGGCAACATCTCATCAGTGTCAGACCTGGAGCTCAAAAGCATGTATCTGCTGGATTACAGCAGCTTTGTCCTGCCCTCCCTGTAACCCGTCTTCACACAAGAGCTCAACAAATATCATGTTTCACTTGTTCTGTTCAACCCTCTGTGCTGTACAGGGAGCTCTGTACATCACTGTCCTTAATCCTGCCGGGTCAGAGCTGACAGTTTCTCTTCCTCTACTTATCTATCAGCAAACCTACATGTACTGAAAAGAAAATAAAACCTGACTGGTATAAGAAACCTCCGCTTTTTGTTTTTTTTCTTCACATGTGGTTGTTCTCTTGTCTGGTTAATGTAGAAGTAGTTGTTGCGCTTCTTTACAACAGAGTAAGTGGAAAACAAATATAACAAACACGACTCAAGGGCTCAACTAAGCTGAGTTCATTGAACTCATTTTTTTTTAAGGCAGCAGGAAAAAATATATTTCTACACTGAACCAAAGTAATCTGATTAACAGGTTATTCTCCATCAGCTAATATGCTTACAATCAGTCAGAGGAGCAGCGATAAATGTTGTGTTGACTGCAAAAACCTTCAAATAAAGATCCCTAGCGTCTCAATCAGAGTCACAATCTGCAGGAAAGACGAGACAAGTGAAAGGAAAACAGTCATTTTTAGGACGAGAGGGTAAAGTTCAGGAAAAAAAAGAACTCCAAGTAAAAGAATCACATGCAACATTTCAGCAGCTTACTATGAAGTCGGTTAATAGAGGTTTGCAAGAAAGTAATGAAAAGCATTTCATGATCTGGCATCTAACTGGACAATAAAGCAAGAAGTTTAGAAATTAATAGATGAACTAAATTGCCTCTGTAAGCATTTTACAGAAGGTAAAGTCAGCGACTCTAATCCGACAGCATGACACAAGTATCTAAACATCTACCAGAATCTCAGACTGCACCTTTAATAGAAAAAAATGAAGTCGTTGTCATGGAAGTAATTAGTAGCATCTAACCGCACAATAAGACAAGAATTCACCAATTAATAAACCCACTATCACCTATTTAAACTACAAAGCATTTCACTGAGTGACGTAAAAAAATCTTTACAAATTAATGTGTTCATCCACCAATAAACAAAGTTAAAAATAGGTTTAATTTTCATAATCAACTTTCTAACATACTTGCTTTGGATATAAATGAATGAAATGCATAATAACTACTTCCCCGACACTGTGTTGCACTTGAGGACCATTTCTCTACTTCATATGTTGCATCTAACCGAGTTTCTTTCACCTCCTCGTCAGAAAACAAACGACACACAGCACCACGTCAAGGTCTCGTCTCTTTGCCCAAGTGTTCTTCTTTTACTTCATTCATTGTTTAATGAGTACAGTGAGAGACAAATAAATACAGACAGAACAGCGGCAAGAAAAGGGGGAAGAGGAGGAAGAGACAGAGGCGAGGAGGAGATGGTCGAGCGTGGGAGGTCGAAGGACGGAGGAGGAGGAGGAGGAGGAGCAGCAGGTGTGAAGCAGGACGACAGTTGATCCCTCTGAACTGGGAAAAGTCCCGCGGTAAGTGGAAACTGAAGCCACAAGGCAAAACGTCTTCTGTTGAGATGTACATCACCCTACGAGCCAGATTCTACTCTGTGTGTCGGCAACTGCGTTTTTACAATAACTCAACTAAAAGTCCCACATGGATGTGAAAGTGCTGATGAGAAACAGACGCTTCACGTCAGCAAGGAGGGAAAACGCAGAGAGGAAAAGACGATGCAAGAGAACCCTCACTGATAATCTGCCAAGAAACAAAAAAACAAAACAAAACAACAGGAACATACTCAAATCATTAAAAAGAATACAAAAATTGCCTCGTTGCCTTTGTTTTTTTGTTAGTTTTTACTTGAAAAAATACTTTAAAAAGTAACAAATCAACAGAAAACAGTAGTGGTGGAAGTGTGAGCTCGGCCGGATAGAGGGCACGCTGACAACCCAGCGCAGAATCACGAGGCGCGCTCGATTCCTTCAACACAACCTCCATGAGTTCAAATCACTTCTGGAGATGTTTCAAACGTGCCCTCTATGTGCCAAGCTCTGGGGCGAACATACATGGATGATTATTTGGGGGACGGGGTTTGTTTTTTTTTCTCATAATTGACCGAGGAGAGATGTTAGCAGAAGGGGATCCCGCTGGATATTAAGACTTGCTCTCGGCTGATTTGAGGTTTTCTCTGCTCCTTCTCTTCACGTCCCAGTTGTAGACTCGTGCCATGTCTGAGAGGAGCGATGGGTCAAGGAACAACGGCGACAGAGCAGCAGCAGGGACGACTAAAAATAGCATCAGCCCATGTTTATTTTATGATGCTTCAGAAACAGAGACGTACAGGAGTCACACATTCAGGTTTTGTTTAATAAGAAGATCCTGATCTACAAAAACTGAAAACATTAAACCTGAACTTATTTATTCAACATTCATCTAAAAACAGGTTTGGACTGTAAAAACATAAATATTACAAACTTACCTGTAATTTCAAGACACATAGCAGACCTGAGGCAGCAAACATTTATAAAAACTGTGCAGAATTGATCATTGGAGTTGCTCTTCTCTACAAATGACTGCTCTGTGTATCTGTAAAGACCATTAAAGGGCTGGAGAAGCCGATAACGTAATAAATTTGCACTTTTTAAAATGTAATGGGCCAATAATGTAATAAAAGTCCTGAACCGATAACGTAATATCTGGTTAAAAAACAAAACAAAAACATTCTTTGCAGATGTAATAACCAGCCAATGACGTAGTAAGTTATTACATTATTGGCCTATTACATTTTAAAAATGGCAAATTTATTACGTTATCGGCTGTTGTTGCGTTATTGGCTTCTACAAGGGTTATTCTGGTTTCCTTAATGGGTTGTTTGAGGTATTAATCCATCGCCAGTGTATTTATTTACAGTGAATGTCGCCCAGAACGAACCCAGTTTGAAGAAGCAGACACCAGCATGGAGGCACTGAGGTGGTTAAAACCATCGATGCTTATTTAAACGCCACCAGACTCTGTTGACAGAAACAGCAGCATTGGAGAAGTCACGAGTTGTTGGTCTACCGCTGCCTGTGTGTGTTGTTGTGCGACTTTGGTGTTTTAACATGCTAGACTGCACTCAAACTCACACACAGCTGTAAGCGTCTGTGACTTTTGAGGTAAAATGACATGTTTTATTCGACAGAGTCTGGTGGCTTTGAATGAGAGAAAAATCACTGTGTCCATCTACTGTACTCCAATTCAAAGAAACCAAACTATTCCTTTCAGGAGACTGAATACTGCATTTTTTTCACATAACAGTTGGGATAGAATTACGTTTTAACACATGAGCGATACCTAAAGGAACCACACGATGCGTTGGTCAGGCTCAGACAGGTGCAGCTCACAGCAGGAGGTCTGCTATGATGTCAACATCCATCGTGAACCGCCTCAAATTGTGAAGAATTAATTGGAATTTGGATAAAAAAGGTCCTAATCGGCTCATGTTTAACATATTATTTATGTGATAGCTGGATAGTTATTGGTAGGGCGGCTGCTGGAGTGTTTTTTTAATTAGTAATCCATCTGATCTGACAACAGTGAAAACAACTTCCTCAAGCCACCAAAAAACTCGACTGAAGATCAATGATTAATATTGCTGCTGATTACTTTTCTGCTGATCGACTAACTGCTGCAGCTCCAGACACTGTTATCGGGACTCATTTTTTGTGTTCTTCTCTCCGGACATCATTTTTCTAATTAAAAACGGGTCTTGACCTCGTACGTACAGAATCAATAGCAATAACGTTGAAAAGGAACCGACTCCAGCCAACAGAGTGTGGGCTGAAAGTGGATCGCTTGTCTGCTCTAATATTCAGTGATATATATATATATATTTAGCAAATTATTTCAAATTCTAGGATTTTCTCAGGTTGATAAACGCCTGCAGTGAGACCACTTGTATTCAAGCTAACAGACTGATCACAGCCTCCGCTCACATAAACGCAGCATCGAGGTGTTTGGACACCTGATGTACCCCCTTTGTGCTGCATCAAATACACAGTGACCCATTCTCCACACGACTGCTTCAGAAGGCTTCACAAACCCCAACACTGTGGAAAACAGCAGCTAAAACATGTGAATGCGTGCTACAGAACAACAGTTTCACCCTTTGTAAACCTGCGCAGACGACACGGTGGAAGGATACTGACTTCGGTGGTGGTGAACTGGTCTCGCAGGAAATCCAGATCCTCCTCGAGTGTCTCTAGGTTACGAGATGCCGTGGACAAGTTCTTCTCTAGCAGAGCCTGGGCTTCGTCGATGTCGTACTCTAACATGACGTTGGCCTTTGAGGGGGAAATGTCGGGGTGGCGGGTAGCGAATGGTGTAAAGAAAACAGGACTGTGAGGTTGAATTCAGGCCCAGAAAACAGCCGACGGAGCCGCTGACCTCTCCTGAGCACTACGTCATTTACCTTTTTTTTTTTTCCCTTTTTGAAGTGAAGTAAAATTATTTGTGCATCTTTTGCTTCATGTTCTACTTATTTGTATAAAACTGCTCTGAGACACGGTATTCGTTTGTGCGATGACACTCTGGTAAATAAAACTTGAGGCGACTTACCCCTAACCATAGGCAGACTTTGTCGGTGGGAGGCACTAAGGCCTTGCAGTAAACACTGTCAGCCAATAGGAAGTGTGTGTCCATGGGCTCTGTGGTTTCCTAAAGGAACAAAACACCACTTTTTCAACACATTTCCTTCAGCCTTGCCTGAACTGTTGGTGTTAGAGACAGCTTAAAGATTCTCCTTCAGCAGTGAGTGTTGGTAAAGTCAGGCCACAACGCACCTTTTTCTTCTGCATGTGTCGTAGGATTTCTAGCGTCTGTGTGATTTGTGGGATCTGGTTCTTCAACCTACATGCAAAGACAAAGACGATGTTTTACTCAACAAAGGAGGTCATTTATTAAGTCATTATGACGCAGTCTGATGCAACGTGGATGTTATGTACAGGACATGCAAATATACAATAAAGACAGTTTGAGCTCAAACGTTTTCTAAAAGTGGAGTGAAAATATTACAATGACAATCGAAGCTAATCATGAGAATAAATGTTCTTTATTTAGCAGCTGACTAAGAGTCTGCAATTTGTGTTTCAGATTAAAGCTGACAGAAACATGATTAAATCTCAGGTCACCAATCAAAATGTCCTGATAGAACACGTAAATGTGAACTTTCAAACCAACCGTGTGGTTAAACGTCTTTTTGTTGACGTTACCTGAGTTTCTTCTGAGACAGGTTGAGCTCCATGTATTTATATTTCTGGTACTGTTCGTCCAGCTTTCTCAGTGCTGAGTCTGCCGTCTCATTTCCGGGCTGCTTCATGAAAGAGTCGACATCCTCCTGTAAAAATCCAAAGTCCAGCGACAATTATTATCCACAATGAATAACTATTTGGTTTCTTTCATTAATCAAGTGAATGTATTGTTGAAAAAATACCAGAAAACTGCAAAAAAAAATAAAAATAAAAATATAACAGTTCTTAAATCCAAGATTACGTCTTCACATCACCTGTGTTGTCCTAAAGTATTAAATCAAATGTCATGTTTAGTACTACAGGAGAAAGAAAAGCAGCAAACCATAACAGTTTTACTTTTAAAAAAAATTAAATTAAAAATCCAATTATGACAATGGTTGCAGATACATTTTCTCTTGACCGTTTAAGATCTTATTTCTAAATGCAATTTAAAATAAACCAATTAGCAAATCGCAAAAGATGTAATTTAGAAGAGACATAATGCAGTGTGTCTCACCCATTATTACTTTAATCTGATGGCAGAACGTGCTCCTGAGCCATCAACGTTTACAGGATATTTTCTCATTAGTATTATTATATTATTTACAATATTTAACAGAGTCACAGACTTTGTGATGATTGTTCCATCTCCTGTATTACATATGTATAAATGGTTTTTAAAAAAATCATCTTAAAGTCCTCATCTGCACATTTGAACATGAACCATCTCATGTTTTAAATCTATGACAGCAAATATTGAACAGAAGGTTTAAGAATGCAAACTGGATATCTTCCACAAATTGCTCAGCGACCGTCTGTGGGCAGTAAAAGTGATTTAAATCAACCCAATTTAAGGGTTCTTGTAGGTTCCACATGTGCAAAGCAAAGTACGTGAGAGACAGGTGGGAAACACTGAAACAGAAGATTTGGCTGCAAAAACAGATACAGCTTCAGTTGTATGGAAGTATTTTTGCTGCAGACGCTGTTGTCAATGGAAGGCAACACAGCTCATTGTTTCCTCATTTAAATCTAAGCTCTGTGTGACAAGTGCAAAACCAGATTGGTATGGCGTCCAAAGCTAAAAACCTATTTTAGGTGACTTCATATGATAAGGGTTTCCAAGTGGCCTTTTTTTTTTTTAGGTTTTATAAAAACAGTTATTAGATTTCTATACAGATGCATTCCCCTGCAATCACCACAGTCATTCTAGGTTTATTAATTATTTCCTAGTTGAGCTATTTAGTGAACATTTAATGATGAATATTGCAGAAAAAGTGAGTGTCACTGTGTAAGTTTTCGTGCAGCCCTTGCTTGGCAGCATGCATCTGGAGTTGGGTGTGTAACGTCCCTCCAGAGCAGTGAAAGGAGGCAGCAGGCAGCTAGCCTTTCAAAAAGACACTCATTAGCAAAGCAGCTCCCTGTTACTCAGACTGGCTACCGTGTGGCTAGCTGAAATACCCTCGAGCCTAAAGAGGGAAACCCGGCACTGAAAATAAGAAGCCGCTCGCCCATAGACAGCAATGTCCATAGATGGAAGCGAGCAGCCGCCCAGCCTGCACACACAGCAGGATTAAATCTGTTAGCTCTCCCGCTAGCTCGGCTAACTAGCGGCTAGCCTGCATGACGCGCCCACACGCCGGCTACGGCTACAAATGTGTTTTCGGCGGTGTAATTCCACAGCAGTCGGGCTACACGGTGAGAAATGTGAGGGTTTACGCACCACAAACACTGCTTCGGGGATCCCGAGGTGCTTTTTCTTTGTCGCCTGTACGGCATTGCTGTTGTCTATGGTCGCCGCCATGTTGGAGAGAGGCTACTCCTTCCTTCCTGACGCACAAGCATGCGCACAAGGGCGTCACCCGTCTGAAGAGGAGAGCGGAGGCTCTGCCGCCCCCAGCGGCCGCAGGCTGCAACTGCAACGAACACAGTTTGTGCAGAGCTCAGTTTGTGTCTTTAGATTTATCTCTAGAGGGAACCAGATGGGGGCACTGGAGATGTTAGGGTGGCACACAAAAGACAAGAGCCACATTTACATTTCAGGAATTCTTTTATACTGTAGAAAACAATGTCAGCCTGAGAGTTAAGAAATCATCACCTGATTATTTGATGTGCACTAGTACAGGTACAGTAGATGTTTTTAGGTACTAGAGTTCATAATAGCCCAATAAAGCAGATGCTAAAGAGTGTTTAAGAGGAACAAAAAATCACCAGCACTGCCCATGTGTGATCATTTATCAACCTACAGCAACTTATGGTACAATAAACTGTGCTGTCATCGAACCATTTCACTCAACTACCTGTTGTCATGTCCTGTTAGTTCCTCTAAAGACTGCAGAGGTCACATTCTATAATGCATTCATATGGACAATATGGTCATTGCTGCAAATATCCTGTCCAGTGAAACAGCAAAATCTCCCAATTAAAAAAACTCACAATCACAAAAAAACATTCTGACTTTAGTAAATGGATCAGAGTTTTCCAATGAAACAACAGGATGTATAATTAGAAGCAAATAATTAAGTAACTGCTATATCATGTTGTGCATAAATGAGGTCAGCTCTCTTTCATGTGGATCCTGCTGCAGGTATTTAATAAACTGAGGTCTGTGTGTGTGACTCCATCTTCTCAAGGCCAAAATATGTCTTTTTTTACGCTCACTCTGACAGATTGCACAGTTAACTAAATGATGCATAGCCACAGTGGATGATGATGAAAACAGCAAATGAGCTTTTAAAAAATAAAGCAGTTAAAATAATGTGATACTTAAAAAAAAATAATATCCAGGTTTCTGCTGTCACATTTGTCCAATGTGAAGCTTTTCTGTCAGTTCAGACTGATTACATCTCCCCGAAATGTGGTCTTATCGGTGATTTTAATGTTATTTGAATTATTCCGCTGCCATGGTCGATTGAGAAAAAGCCCTCTCAGGCCTGCCTCATGACATGCAAACCGCATGAAAATTCACTGTCCTGGAACTTGATGCAAAGCAGATGCTAAGTTTCAAATTTGATTGCAATTTTTCTCGCTGCTTGGACAAGTAAAGCCCATCTGCCTTGTACAAACTATTATTTATTGCAATAAAAAAAAAGGAATTAAAGTTCAAAGATTGTGCTTGTCTTACTGTTAAATATGCCATTTCATATCAAAATTCTGTATTTTTTTTTCTGAAATAATACACATAACATATAAAGCAGTATAATGCACAGTTTAAATATGAAACCTCTTTCATACAGATTTTATTGTTGCATAATTAAATGAGATATATGATTTCTGATCCACATTTCTCCCCTTTTATGGGGTAGCTCTTCTCTGGCAGCTTCCTCCAGCTCACTTTCACATCAACGCCTCCCAGCTTCATTTCAACCTGTGCAACAGAAAAGTTAATCAGGATACACTGCAGGGATACGCTGCACATTTTATAAACTTTGCACCAACATGCCACATATAAAAACTGTCTGTAAAGGTTTGTCCATAAAAATGATCACTGCTGAGGTAGATTGCTTCTACCTGGAAAACACGCTGCACACAAGGTGCAATGGTCATGTTTGATGTCAAATATCATTGCATAATCGATGCAGTATATCAGGATTTTATGGCTTTACTGTCAGAAGTCCTAAAAGGCTGAATGTGAAATGTGACTGTTACCTCTTTTAAGACGGACGCCATCACAGCAGAATCTCTCATGTCCAAGGAGGAGTCAGAAGCAGCCAGATTCACTCTCACCAGGTGCCTCCTCAGTGGAGCTGGTCGGATTATAAAGGCTTCATCATCAACATCATCATCATCAGTATGGCATTATACTCTTTGTTTGGAACATTCATGACACATGGACAATACAAGTATTACACTAACATAACAATAATTAAAGTAGTATTCCTTAAGGAGCTGCAGGGTGCCACCGTCTGCCAGTAATGAAAAATGTTAAATTATCTGTCATATAGTGTGAAGAAACTTGAAGATATCATCAAAAATTATACAAAATATGCACTCAAAGGTGTCCTACTATAAACAGTAGGGCCATTATATTACAAATAATCCCATTTTTTATAACAAATTCTTCCCATTTTTAGGATTTTTTTCTTTTTAACTCGTTGACATTTGAGGCTAAGCTTGAAAAACAATATCCCAGGAAATAACAAAGATCACATTTTCCCCAAGTAGGGGTGTCTACCAGTATTTTTGTTTTTGTGGTACAACCTGTCATATCTGGTTAAATTAATTATGACAGCTCAATGACGTTAATTTAATGTTTTATTTATGTAACACATGAAAACATATTCTGTTGTGAAATGCAGCTACATGTTCAGAAAATATCACTAGTAGACTTTTACATTATCGATTGTTATCATCGTGTGCTCAGATATGGGACTTTTCTTGACGGCTTCCATTTTATTTTCATATTTTACCTCAACCATGATATGTTTGATCCACTAGTCCAACATTACAGATTCTGAATCAGTGACATTTATCTTTAACGCTTCCAGAGATGTTCTTGTTTAAGCAGCGTCAAACCTGCTGAACGTGGGTTTTGTCTCATCAGTCTGAATGGATTTCAAATATTCACATTGTTTTGTTTTTTTTTTTGATTAAAAACATTTTCAAGCAAGTGATAGTTGGTTGATCACAACAACCCTGATGATATTAAGATGGAACAATCCTGCTTCTCTTCCACTTTCTCATCAAGGGATCATCAAAAAATGTGTAAAACATGTTGTGCGATGTATATTTTTCATAATTAGACGATCAAAAGGCTTTTCAGTCGTAACTACTGTCGTCTATGATGACTGATAAAGGTGTTTACTCACTACTGTAGCAAAAGAAGGGATGTTTTTCAGCACAGCTCTTGTCTACCACCCCCAGAGTGCCGCTGTTTACATCGAGCACCGCACAGTTTGCGTCTCCACCTGACAGCGGATGGGAGGGTTTCCAGGGCACGAATGAGGCCTCGCTGCCATCCAGCCATGTCCAGGACATCCTCACCATCCCGATCCACACCCGCTGCTGGCTCGCCATCTTCTGCAGCAGCTCATTCTCCTCCTGGTTCCTCACTCTGGCCAGGCCCGTGTTCTGATTCCTGCAGTGCGCCTGAGCTGAGACCCAGTCCATGGAGCCGCTGCCCAGCACAAATCTCTCAGAAAGATCAGTGGCAAACCCTGCACATGTTTGGACATGTGTTCAGTCAGTTAGCAGAGCATTTGAGACTCGTATGATGAACGTGGTCTCACTTAAGGATGGACAATATATCTGTGAGCCGGGGAGTCATTTCAATAAAAAGAGTTTAATCAAGGGTGCAGGTTTGGCTTCAGAGGTCTGGTACGCTTTCTAAAATCATATAAACTGCTGCATTATATATTAAACACATTCATGTCCTAGAATTTCCTGCATTTTTTGATGTTATATATGTTGGCAATGAACCTTCAGAACTTTAAACTCAACCAGGGGTGCATTTTACTGCATTTGTATCTGTTTAAAAGATTTATATGTTTTAAAAATGCTAAATTATATTTCAAACTCTGGCCTGATGGCAAAAACAACCACCTGTAATTCACAGCTGCTTGAAAAACTTAAATATTGTGAGCATGGAGTGTTATTTGAGAGGACACAGAAAAACAGTATGTATTGTATGAAAGTACAATTAAAAGGTTTTTGGTAAAATGGGTTTTCTTCAGGACATAATAGCCCCAATAAAAAAAACAACAAAAAAACACAGAATACAGTTTTTAAAAAAAGTCTTGTTAAAAAGATCAATATGTTAAAAGAAATGGGAAAAAAATACTGAAACGTTTCTATGAACATAAAGACAAATATCTGTTAAAAAAATGTATTTAAAATATTAAACATTTGAAAATTAAAATATAAAATATCTTATTTTTCTGATTTGAATTCTTTGAAAGCAGCGTAATTTTCTAAATTCTGTTTAATTTAATTCAAAGACTGCATTGCCCTCCGTAAGAATACAGGTTTCTGATGCGGTATTTACAGTTTTGGCCTGTTTTTTGTTGTTGTTGTTGTTGTTTTATTTATTTTTCTTTACTAATAGCATGAAACTCAATCCTTTTTTTGGTGATTTTACATTGTACTCTCACCATTGTAGCAGAAGAAGCTCAGGCTGGAGCTGCAGTCTGTAGCGAACCACTCTCCTGTTCCTGAAATGCTCCCACAGCGATGGTTACTGGGTTCTCCACCTGCCCAGTTCCAGTAGGCCGGTTCTCCTTCTCTGTAGTCGTCAGCTTCGGACCGGGACCAACTCCAACCTCTGTGCAGACCAACGTACACGTCTGACACGCCATGTTCCACCAGAGCAGCCAGTTGGGCCAGATCCTGCTCGCTGTTCACGGTGGCCAGGTCAGCGTGCTCGTCTCTGCAGCGCTTCCAGGCTTCAGGCCAGTCTGCCGGCGTGTTGACGAAGTGGAACTGATGAAGGCAAAGCGAGAAGGAGAACCGGCACAGACCTGGGGATTATGTTAAAGGAAAGATTACTACAGCAGCAGAGTTGATATATTCTTCACCTGACACCTCAGGATAGATTTAGATGATTAATCAAGTCATAAATCTGTTACCTGAAAGGACAAAGATGCCAAATATCCTCCAGTCCATGGTCTGTAGCTTCAGCAAGACAATAAGAAGATGCATCAACAAAAATATTCAGCAGTAAACCATCATTAGTACAATCATGACATGATTGATGAGGATGATAATAATAAAAGCCACCTGTAATGGAGAAGGCTTTAACGTGAGGACCTGGGTGGAGTCCACTCCTGTTTCTTTACATTCAAATATGATTTCCGTGTCTCAGCATGATGATGCAAAAATCCATGTTTCAACGGAGGAACAGGAGGAGAGAGTTTTGCACCTGCTGATAAAATAAATGCAAAGATGTTTTAAAGATGCACTCATCAAGATCTCACATTAACAGTGGAAAAAACGAACTGTGCAGAATGTGAAAAGCAGGAACTGACAGAGAATTATCAACCAACTTGTTTGCTTCAGTTTTACCGATTCATCGACAAACATTCGAAGAGTTCATTTGCAAAAACAGATAACTCCATCTTCACAAACCTTCAGGAAACCTGAGTCTACCTGAGACAATATTCATCAAACTTAAGTTATCTGTACAGTTGTCATGACATTTCTACTGAGTCAGATCCACTCAGCTTCAGTTTGATTGATATCATCTCAAGCAAACAACAAAAAATAAGTTTTCTGAAAATCTACAAAAATGGAGTTTTCTGTTTTTGCAAATGAACTCTTCACTTCATAACAGCAAAAGATGGAAAAAGGCTTTTAAGCCACAGTGTATGAATCAAACAGCCGCTAAAATGAACAAAACACGAACTGACAAGTCGAGTATTTAGCAGCAAAGACGTCTCACATACTCTGATCATAATTAAAACAACTCCACACACTAAAGTAAGCAACAGTAGTACAAGTTCACCATCACAACTTTATTGTTTAATGCTATATTAAAGCGTTTGCTCTGTTGCCATCGACTAATACAACAGCGTGATGCAGCAGCACAGAGTTCAGAGGCATCGCTGCAGGAGATCACTGGAACAGGACAGTTTGCATCGCTCATAAAACTGCTGAATCATTTCTTTTACAGCTGTGACGCTGCACGGTTTGGGCAGAAAGTAATCTGTGAATGCAAAGCACATGAAAACACAAAGCGTCTGGTGGAGCTGATGCAAAGCCTTTGCAAAACAAAGAACTCATTTTTTAAGGAAAAAAAAAAAACCCAAACCAAACAAATCACCACAGAAACACTGATCAAAACACGCTGGGAGAAGCATTTTTCTCGTCATATTTTTGACAGAGTAAGACCTTCACATGTGAAACTTAAAGCCACAGCACCAATAATTTCACAAAGGTCTCTTGTAAAGCTGTAGATGTTGTCATGAGTTGAAACTGAAAAGCAAACACGTATTTATCTGCATTGTTTTGCGTTTAAATATTTAAATGTTTTATCCGCATAATAAAAACAAGCAAAAAAGATTTATATTTTAGAGTATCAGAATGTCAAAGACAGATATGATGTGAGATTAGGTCTGAATTCTAGCTGTGAGGTATTAAGATCCAGGAATGTGTGAATAGTAAATTAACTTATTGTTGACAATAAAAGGCACCATATGCATATTTAAAGAGGTTACTTTTGCAAAAAAAAAGACATAAGTGGACAGAAGACATACTCTTCTGACAAACGTGATGAATCATAAGTGAAAATATTAAATGACAAAAGTTTATCTGCAGGAGAGTAAACATCACAGAGCGACACAGAGTGACTGAGAGTTGCACAGCATCATAGTCATTCATGTCTGAAATCGCCGCCTGTGGTTTTCACTATAACTCGAAGGTGCAAATTGATGCAGAAAAATTCACTAGAAAGCAGGAAATGGAGCTCAGAATGTCCACCCGCAGATTATTTAAAGTTCAATCAAAACCTTCACCAGGAACACAAACCACCCCACAGAACATGAACCAGGAGGCAGTTTTTGCTGTTGAGGGCATTTTAGGAGGCGATCTTACGTTGAAAAGGGAATACAAGTTTTAAAACATATCAAGGGATTCATAGTTAACGTTTGTTTAACACACAGACCAATAAACATGATGCCATAGACGAACCGTTTTCAGTCCCACAAACGAACCTTTAAGCAAAAAGCAAAAAACGAAACTCAAACCAGAATAGTTTTCTTATGGAGCTATTTTCCGGGTGGCACCTTGTGGTTCTGTTCTGATAGCAGGACTTTGTAAGTAGTTTTTAAGCAAAGAAAATACATTTGCTGGGTCTCGTCCATGAGGACACGTTTAATATTTCGGGTTCTGGATTGTTGATTAGACAGAACAACAAGTTGCAAACTTTGGATTTGGGAAAATGTGACGCACACTTGTCACTACTTTCTGATACTTAGAAGACCAAATGATTAATCGATAACAAAAATAAAGTAGTGGTTAGCTGCAGCTTTAGTTTAATACCATCATCTGCCACCAAACTAAACACAGTCGTGACTCGATAATCCGACACTAAATGTATAACCTGCTTTTATGTCGGATTGTCAAGACGGAGGTCGAGATACGAGGAGGGCTTGATGCTGGAAGAGTCATTTGTTGTTAATATTCATTGTTTATAGTTGTTATAATAACTAGTGTATTGTTAGAACACTACGCATCGCTAGATTTCACACCTAGTTGACCGGTGACTGGCTTGCACACGTTCCGGCCACTTCCACCCCGGGGCAGCGCTCCGATGGGGTGGAAGTGTCCACAACACACAGGCAGTACTTGGCTGCTGATGCCAGTTTAGTTAGCGCTCGCAGTTTTGTTTCCATTGGTGCCGGTGGCGGGGGAGTGGCAGATATGCTCCACCGTTACCATCCAAGTTTACTTCTGTAAAGACTGAGCACGCTCGCTGTGGGACGTCGTCGTGTCCTCTTCTGCACATGCGGGACACTTTTGGGTCGTATGAAGTTCACACAGCAGATCACATACAAGTCGCATTGAACTGGAAACGTGAACGAACTCGCAAAAAGTCAGATTTCACAAAAAAATCCTAATTGAGCATCAAGTCCTGCAGTGTGAACGTAGCCAATCGGTGGGATTGTTCAGTCAGATAATACGGCGTTATAAAATGTCATGTCGGAGTCAGAATCCAAGGCTGGCGGTATGTTAAGGCTATTTTTTATGGGTTCCGTTTGTTTTTCCTAAAACATGTCAGAGAGCAGGTTTTGGATTGTTAAGGGTCAGATTATCGAGTCACGACTTTAAATCAAAAAGAACCGTCCGTACTTCAAAGAACGACATAAAGAAGGAAGAACCACCTCCTAATTAAAGAGCATCATGGAGACTTTGTTGCCTTTGAACGTAACACTGATGACGAACAGGTGAGTTTACTTAGTTTTGAGGCTAATTGTTAATGATCGTTCATGTCAACGGTTGTGTTTCATCGCTGGGGAGGTTTAAACACAAAGAAAACACGATGTGAACTCCATAACATCAGCAGCGGTGTGGTCGGAGTTCGCTGTGTTTCCTCAGAGCTTTGAGTCTGTTGGTGTGTAATGCTGGTCTGGTGTGAGCTGCACTTCATACTGAATGTGGATTACCTTCATACTGAATTCTGATCCACAGGAGCTGCTATAAAATCACACATCAGAGGTAAAAGTCCAACCCAGATAAACTGGCGACCAAACCAATGTTTGTGCAAAAAAAACCTTCAAACTGGAAAGCTAGCTCAGTCAACGCAAGTATATACATTAGAGAAAGCCACCAGTGTCCCCATTCTGAGCAGATAATCAAAATCACTGCAAAACGTTCAGATTTGTACATTAGAACCCAAATACAGAAGACTCTACTATTAAATACTAAATCCGTTTTGTAGGAGAAACCCCAGTTTCAAGTCTATTTCTTGTGATTGGCTGCCGTGATAATCAGCGGCGATGTGTTCTTCCCTTCGTCACAAACCCCCGGGCTGAGGAACGGGAAGACCCTCTCTGAGAACAAACAGCTGGTGAAGGTGTAGATGTGAACTCTGTTCTCCACGTCGAAGAACGACACTGTTCCCTCCTCGTAGTCCATGAACACCCCCACAGTCTGAGGCTTCTCCTTCAGAGAGATGACCACAGACGGGGAGTCCAGAGCGCGATACTCGTTACCGTTCCTCAAACGCACCGTCCAGAAGCCGTTCTCCGGCTTGGAGGTGATCATGCCCTTCCGGTTGACGGACTCTTTGACCACACCCAGGTCCCAGAAGGTCTTCTGGCCGACTGCCACCTGATTAACAAACATACGAGAGTTAGTGAGGCTTTAAAAACAGGCGTCGCACTGAAATGTCAACTCTTGATCTTTACAATAAAGTCATCCACCTGGAAGTAGACTCTCCCAGACAGGAAGCCTTTCTTGCTCAGAACGCAGATGACTGGGTCGAAGCGTTGCGGGTAGTCAGGAACGATGTGCAGCAGCTCGCCGCGACCCGCCTGCTTCCCGTCAGCAGACAGGACGATGTTGGGATGGGCGGTGTCCGGGTCCAACACCACGTCCACTAGGGAGATAGAGAAAGGCAAGCTTCAATAGCCAGACTACAGCCATTAATAACTCCACTGCCGTCTTCTGCCAGGATTTAAAGAGCCCATTATTGCCCCGTTTTGTTCTTTTTTTTGTTCTTCACATCTCCATCCATCCATTATCTGGACACTGCTTTAGGGTTGTGAGGGGGCTGGGTGAAGGTCGCCAGGCTATCACAGGGCCACACTGGTTATATTTCAATGTGTTTGGGTCTTTGGTTTACACGTCAACGAAGCTACAAGTCAGCGAAAACGATCATATCTGAAAATTCCAACCACAGCGGAGATTTGGAAAAACTCCGTCTTTGCATGTAAACAGGAGGAGACAGAGTTTGACGTCATAGTGTGCGACAAAAGCATCATCATATGTGTGCGACCATGTTTCAGTTTGACTGCTGTGATAGGAATGGATGCTGTTAAAGCAGAGCCTGTTTTTACGTTTGAGCTTTTGGCCTGTTTGCATTTACATTTAGGAGTAGCTCCACTTCTCTGTCGGTCCAAAGAAACGACCTTCGTGCCGTTATTGTTAAAGCAACAGGAAGTAATTCACGCCATTCGTCGTGTTTTTTTTCCAGGATTCTGATTGGCTAGCATGGCTTCATGCTTCTCGTTACACTGCCCCCTACAGGTCTGTCAGTTCATGCGGGTTTGTGTATGTGAAGATTTTGTTTTTAAACGATCTGGTGTGAACAATGTTATTTTTGTTGTTTTTGTAAATACCCGGCTATGTGTAAACGTGGCCTTAGAGACACACAACCAAACTCACAATCACCAATTAGCTTCATCAATTACATTTTTGAACTGTGGAAGAACCTGGAGAGAACTGCACGGGGAGAACATGCAAACTCCACACAGAGAGATCCCAGGTGTCCTAACCGGGATGCGAACCAGGGATCTTCTAACCACCATGCAGCCCACATCACATCTGTGACTGTTAACCCATGTGTATGTGAGGGGGAGGAGTCATATAAAGCTGGATGGCTATTGGATCGATAGGTGTGCAACTGGATCATGTTCTTACGTTCTTGATAAGCAGGGAGACTGTCTAGTTGTGGAGGGGCTTGAAGAATGAAGAAGTAAACGTCTTCATATCTTAACAGCTTTTATTTTACACCTCTTAGTTTACAACCACCACAAAACCCAATAAAAACGGACTTTCACCACATGGGACCTGTGACACGCTTCGATCAATCCGCCTGCAGCCGACAGCAGCTCAGGTCACTCATCTGGTCAACGCTGTGTTCACATCGTACAGGACGGATGGAAAGGATTCCCAAAGATTCATCTAGGCTTCAATGCTTTTAACAGTAGACTTCAGCTGATGTAACGAATCTAGATTGTTCGTTTTGTAGTGACTTTAGCGGCTGCATGAAGGAGAGCTTTCAGGGAATTTGAGCGGTAAACACGAGTAGTCTTTACTGATGGAGTGATGTGAGCACGATTTAAAAGTTGGAGACTCATATTAATAAAAATACAAACCCAGCACGGTGCCGCTCCCGTTGAGATAGTGTTTGAAAGTGGTGAGGTATTTCTATATCTCTTTATGATATAACTACAAGTGCAAAGTCCCACAAATAACACACGCAATCCAACGTACAAGAATGCATTGAGCTGAAAACCAACAAGGAAAACAATCGGTACCAGTGCATTTATGTCCAGTGTGTTCATACCTGCGTATTTCTGCATCATCGTCATCTCTGTCAGAAGAAGAACAAACAAGTAGCTTCAATGAGTTCAAAAAACTAATTTAAAATGTGTAAACTGTTAAACACAGGTTATCTTTCTGAAACTATTGCATCCTAATCATAGAAAACATTTTCAGGCTACTAGCAATAACCAGAATAGAAAAAATATGTTTTGATGCTAATGAAGCTCTCCAGGTATCCATCATATGAGAATGATGTATTTCTCAGTGTAGATTGATGATGATTCATGCTAATACGATACTATCATGTGTACTATTAATACTCAAGTCAAACTAAAATAGTTTAATTAATGACAGTTAAATGCCACATGGTTTGCTTTTCCCTCATCTGCCCTGACTTTATTTGTGGCACTTTTGGACAGTTTGGAACATCTGCTATTATCATGCTCTGGATCTGATTCATGGAAAAGTCTTCATTTGTTTATTAAAAAGTTCCCCCCCAGTAAGCAGTCGGTGGCGTTCTGTGCGTCCACTTTACCGTCTTCCTTCAAAGTGTCCAGCTCTTTCTTCAGGCTGTCGTCCAGCTTAGACAGCGTCCTCCTCAGCGTCCCCACGCAGAGCTCAGGATGGACGCTGATCTCTGTCCACTGTCTGGTGGGCGGAGGCGACGTAAGGGAGGGCAGCCGCTACCGGAGGAGACATGAGATTTCAACATAGGTATGAAGTGTGTTCCTCAGATTGAGCTTCATCCCCGCTGTCAGGATATTTTTTATTTTATTGTTCATAAAAATCACTGTTTTAATCTGTAATTTTTTTTAAATATGCTAAAAAATAAAAAAAGATCAAAAAGACATAGCACAGTTTAATCTGTAAAAAAAACAAAAAAAAAACAAAACAAAGATAGCTACAAAATAAGAAAATATAACATGTACTGTAAAACCTGTCAAAAACATGGAAAGTATCTGTAAAATAATTAGATTTTCAGCTGATTTAAATTCAGTAAACGGTGTAATTTTTTTTGGCCACGCATATACAAAAGACACATAGAATTACTATTTGTAAAAATATTAAAAAACATAAAGTTATTTATTTTATTTTTTACAGATTTGACCTGTTTTCCTTTAAGGTGAACACGTAAATTGCTTTTTTACACTTTGTTTTCCTGTGATTTTACTTGATGTTATCTGTAATTTAACAAAACAGGAAATAAACAAAGAAAAAAATTCTTGATATTCACATTTTGTCTTTCAAATGATGACAAATATCTGCAAAATAACAGCATATTTTTGCTATTTTAAATATAGTAAGAAATGGTGTAAGTTTTGGTCAAATGCTGTAAAAGAATAATTTGCTATTTAGTGAAATACAGACTTTTGTTGTGGACGTTATTGACAGTTTTGGTGCAGTTCACTGTAAATGAAGACTGTTTCCTGTGATTTTACTGGTTATTGTTAAAAATCAATGATTAAAAATATCAAAATGTCTAAACTTCAACAAATATTTAAATCTCATCTTTATCTTGTTGAGAAACATCTACAAACTGTGACCACAAACATCTTCCTTTCCTGCTTCTATTGAATGGATTAAAGTCGATGCTGCCACACACTAAACATCCTGCATTAACTGGTTTCACGCCGACCTGTAGGAGGTGCAGGTGGTCCTCAGTGCTCCTCAGCTCCTCCAGCTCAGTGTTCCTCCTCTGCAGCTCCGTGACTTCCTGCTGCAGCTCATCGACGAGCTCCTCGGCCCTCCTCTCTGCTGCCTTCTGCTTCTCCTCGATCTCTGTGTGGACTTCGGTTTGTCTTTCCTGGATGGAGCCGATCAGATACGCCAGGAGGCGGTCGCTCTCGGCCATCTCCTTCTCTGCACTCACCTGGATGAGGATAAAAATAAACACTATGACTGCAAAAGGGCATTATTTGTCACGTTAAATGCACTGTGATGAAATTCTGTCAACCAATCTCTGGTACTTCTGCATTTATTTCCCAAAATGCTGTTTTAAAACCAGTATAGACAGGACTTTAAGACAACTTTTTATTCATTTTACACCTGTAAGGTGGAAGTTTGTTTTTGTTGTTTTTGTTAGGGAGGCACAGTCATATATGATGGAGCTGAACATTTCTTACAGCTGCAATGCATTCTGGTCCACTGAAGCCTCTGTTACTAGACAGATGACAGTCCCTCTTACTTAAACTGGGATATTCTGCCATGATGTCCTCACAAAAATTTTACATTTCAAGTGCCTTCACAAACCCGTAACAGAGCTTTTAAACACATTTCTGATGTAAACGAGGACTAAGTTAAAAGGAGGGATCAACGAGCAGCAGAACAGACATGAACTTTCCCATCCCGACTTACTGTGCTGAGCTTCACACAGTTTTTGATCTCCTCCACTTTCTTCAGTCGCTCCTGGATCATCTGTTGAAAACCTTCTTCAGTCTTCTTCATTTGGAGCTAGACAGACAGAGGAGAACGTGAAGCTAAACAAACAACATCAACATTTACATTCACGGAGAAACTACACTCAAAAAAAAAAAAAAACAGAAATGGATTTTTTTTAAAAAAGAGGAAATATTCCAGCAGCCATCAAAAATACTGTAAAAATAACAGAAAATAACCATAAACATACATTTTCTAGCCTGAGCATCACTGTTTTGTCTTGTTAATGTTTATTGAAGGATTTTTTTTCATGTGTAAAAACTATGAAATTACCATTAATATGTAATAATATATATGATGATATTGATGGATTGTTGTGAAAATTTCTGTAATTTTACGAAATATGGCTAATTTAAGGAACAATACTAATTAAAATTGCCTAAATTGTACTTCTATTACTGATTTTAATTTTAGAAATATATCTACAATATAAAACATGTATTTAACGGTTCAATCGATTGAATAAAAAGGATTTTTAAAAAAATCTGGCTGTTATATGTGTGTAAAACTTAATTCTTATTTCCAGTTAATTTATTGATTTACTTATTTACTGTTTTTTTTAATGTAATTTTACTTTGGACACAGTCTAGTATATATAAAGTCACAGCCTATTTTTGTGGTTTTAATGATATATTTTAATAAAACAAAGTACAGTTGTTGTTTTTTTTAATGTGTAGATAATACAAATATTTTGTTCGATAAAATGCAGTAAACCTCCACACTATTATAACATTATAGCTGCATTCTTGTTTTTCTTTTTTAGACACTTTCATCTATTTACCACACTTTCCTGCTTTAAGTACATGTAAAGAGTTACTCGTCAGAAAGAGCCGATCTGAGCAACCTGAATTAAAATATATGAAACTGATTTCAACACCACAACAGAGAAGCCCATTAGAGAATATGGCACCTTGAGCCCAGTAATAAACTTTTTAGTGTCCAGTAGGATTTTGTTTTACTTCAGAATGACAAAGTGTTGAATCAAGATGCTCAGAAGGACCCAGTTAATGTCTTAAACTGGATGATAGTTTAATAGTTCATGCACTGCCACACAGATGGATAGATTTCAGAAACTCTGTGAATGCAGCGCGTACCTTCCTCTGGCCGCTCTCGTCCTCCACTCTGACAGCCTGGTGGCCTTTGTGCTCGGTCTCGGTGCAGAACTGACACACACACTTCTGTTCGTCCCTGCAGAACATCTCCAGCAGCCTCTCGTGCTTCTCACACATCCGCTCCTGCAGGTTCCCCACCGGCTCGATGAGCTTGTGCAGCTTCAGGGTGGCGACTCTCTGGTGAGGCTCCAGGTGGGCCTCGCAGTACGACGTCAGACACACCAGGCAGGACTTCAGGGCCCTCACCTGCCGGGTCGTGGCCGCGCAGACGTCGCACACCACCTCGCCTGGTTTGGCTGCAGACAGCGGCGAGGCAGAGGAGCAGACTATCATCTGTCTGAACGTGTCTGCCAGCTCTTTGAAGGCAGTGTTGATGCTGATTTCAGGCCGGGAGGTGAACGACTTGTTGCAGGTGGGACACTGGCAGACAGAGCTGCTGTCCCACGTGCTCTGGAGGCAGGCCTGGCAGAAGTTGTGTCCGCAAGGAGTGGTCACCGGGTTGTTGAACACCTGCTGACAGATGGTGCACTGGAACTGTTCTTGTGGTAGCATGGTCGCTGAGGAGGCCATTGTCTGCGGAACAGTGAACAAGGAAGTCAGCCGCGGGGAGATCTTTGATAGAGGAAGCAAATGCAAAGATTTATAACCATCAAAAGTCACTGTCACAGGTAGAAAGAGAACTAATTACACATTTAGTTGATGTTCTAAATACTAATAGTTGCAGTAAAAATATGTTCAAACAAGTTTGAGGCAGCGAAAGGGTCAAAAAGACACATTTCTAACTCTGTTTTAGTGTTTTCTCACGTGAAGCTGTGTAAATATGTTCAGGTATGTACTTCTTGAATTTCAGGATTTATACACCCAGTACTGTTTGGTGCACCGGGCGTATTACTCAGAGTTTTCTTACCTAACCAGACACCAGACACACCCACTCTTTCCACAGATTGTCACAATAATACAGCTCAGCGTAATGACAACACAACAGGCACATGACCACTAATCTTCAACTCTAATACGAGACATGAAACTACTATTACTGTCTGCTTACGTTGATAACTACCAGCTGCTGGTCTCACATTAGCACTTTGCTAAATCAGACAGCACCAATTACACTTAGAATTGTTTAAGATGCTATAAACTTAAGTAATATCGGAGTTATTTGTTTTTATAATAAGAACATAATACAATTCATCCAATTACGCTCACCTATCGCAACACTTATTCACTTAAAATGTTGTAAGTTGATGTCTATTGTGTTATTTGTTAAATGTAATCTAAAATCTTGTAAATTTTTGCATCATTTTGGTCAGTTTTATTTAAACGGGTAATGATAGCAAGCTAGCAAGTTTTGCCAGTTAGCCATTAAACACATGGAAGCTACACATGGAAGTTACTAGCTGTTATTATTTTAGAATTAGCAAAAACTAACCTCTAAAAATAAAAAGTTAGTTTGTTTAGTGACTTGTAAATCTCTATTTGTTGCACAACTATGCAATTTTAGCATTTTTGTTTTGGCTACTTGTGGCTGCTGTTCTCAACTGCTTAGCTTAGCTTAGCATAGCATAGCATAGCATAGCATAGCATAGCATAGGCACTGGAATTAAGGGGAAACATTGGTTGCATTGTATAGATTCTGTTGAAAAGTAGAAGAAACAATCACTTTCCTTCGCATTTGTTAAAACATTGTATCTAATCGGTTCATTCTGTATAAAAGCGGAGATGTAAAATTATTATATACTAAACTATGTATTAGCTGTGGAGTCATATACAGAACACGGCTGCCTTTTTAGCCTGTTTTCAGTCTTTATGCTAAGCTAAGCTAAATGATTTATTCATATTTGCTACAAGCAAGAGAGTGGCATCAATTTTCCGGGCTACACAGACATTGAACTGTGCCTTATATGAACACAAGCTCACAAAACGCTTTTTACAACCTTAAAGCTACGTTAGAGAAAACGAAAGTGGGAAAATATATGTCAAGGAGAAAATCAAATTTCCTACTTAGCACAGCAGTAGCTCTAATATTTAACCAGTGGATATTAAACAACATTTTACATCAGCAGCACGTCAGATATCCAAATAACTGAACGACTAATCTACAGCGTATAATCCTCTTTGGAACAATCCATGTCTAAGCTATTTAAACTGATTCATTTCACTTTCATTCACTCGTCCAGTTTTTCTCACAACACAACAGTCACAACAATAATAACAATAATCACACTTTTAGCTCTCATACTCACTTGTGTCAGTTGAAGCTGGTCAGTCAGTGCTGGCTGTCGGCAGAGCAGGTGACTCCTGCTTTATGAATGAATACATTACAGGGCTAGCTGTGAAACAGGAAAATGTAACGTCAACAGTTATTCATCAGCCCGGCCCTCCCTCTCCGGAGCCCAGCGCTGGTTCCTCTGCCTGCTATACTGAACGCTACCTAATCTTAAAATAGCAGCATTCAAAGCACAAACTACCATTAGTTACTGTATCAATAGTATTCAGTTGTCATGCAGGCATCACAGGCTTTGTGTGCATGAGTGTGAGTGTGTATGAGACCATGGGAATACATAATAGCAGCCCTCACAGAAGGAAGGAGTGTGTTTGCCTCGTGGGTGTGGTGAGTCCAATGGTTAACATTTTCCACTTATGACACACCTGACGTGCATGCTTTCAGCAGCAGAGCAATGTGAGAAATGCTGCCGTGCAATTCACAGTTAAGGAAACACATTCTGCTGCAGATAAGAGGATTGTGGACACACTGAATGCTGCCTTCTTTGTAACTGAATGAAGGCCATGAGAGCAAATTCAGGAGGGCAGAGTAAAGGCCTTCCAGCCTCTCAGATGTCCAGATCTGAACTGGTTGTCCTAAATGATTTAATTTAATGAATTTTTAGACTAAGATCATGTGATATGTGTGTAATTGGGTCTTTCTGGCAGTGGTGGAAGTATTTACTCTTTTGTATTAGTACTAAGGTACTTGTAGTCTTCTGCTTCTCTCAGTTGTTACTTCACTACATTTATCCGACAACTAGCTAATTTGTGATTTAAACCCCTTTAATTCAAAAATAAAATACAGTATAGACTGTACAATACTAACAAAAAGCAGGGTTCTGGGTTCTGACTCAGTCCCTCCAAACATCCACCTTGTTCTTCCTAAACCATTTCTCTGTAGCTTTGGTTGTTTGTTTCAGTTCATTGTTTTGCTGAAAAACAATTCTTCTCCCAAGACCTCAGTTCTCTTGCAGACTGCATCAGCTTGTCCTCCACGACTTCTACACTTTGCTGCATTCAATTTA